GACATGGCTCTGGGAGGGGGGACATGGCTCTGGGAGGGGGACATGGCTCTGGGAGGGGGGACATGGCTCTGGGAGGGGGGACATGGCTCTGGGAGGGGGACATGGCTCTGGGAGGGGGGACATGGCTCTGGGAGGGGGTACATGGCTCTGGGAGGGGGTACATGGCTCTGGGAGGGGGGACATGGCTCTGGGAGGGAAGACATGGCTGTGGGAGGGGAGACATGACTCTGGGAGGGGGGACATGGCTCTGGGAGGGAAGACATGGCTGTGGGAGGGGAGACATGACTCTGGGAGGGGGGACATGGCTCTGGGAGGGGGTACATGGCTCTGGGAGGGGGGACATGGCTCTGGGAGGGGGGACATGGCTCTGGGAGGGGGTACATGGCTGTGGGAGGGGGTACATGACTCTGGGAGGGGGTACATGGCTCTGGGAGGGGGGACATGGCTCTGGGAGGGGGGAGATATGGCTCTGGCATAGGGAATAGAGCGGGGGCAAGAAAATGCTCCTCCACACAGTTCCCTACAAATGAGTTTGAACATTACGACGTCGGGACAAGACAGTGCGGAAAATTACCAGGAGCAGAGACTCGTCTCTCCCACTTGGAACAGCGGCGGAGTCGACCTTAACAACACCTTACATTGTTTCTTTCAGGCGGTTCCTGCCTGGCAGCCTGGCGACGTTTGTCGTGGGCGTGCGTCGTGGGCGTGCGTCGTGGGCGTGCATCGTGGGCGTGCGTCGTGGGCGCATTACTTGCGTCCCGTGACGTGTGTGTGTGAAGGATAGTCCTAGAGTTATCCATCAGTGTCCCGGCGTACCCGAGCCTCCTTTCCTCCCTCACACCTTCCCTAGCCTTCCCTAGCTCTCAAAGCTTTCCTCCCTCCGTCCCTCCCACTGTTCCCTGCACGTCCTCCCGTCCCTCTCCCCCTGCCCACTGGGGGGAGTGAAGGGCGTGACGACACAGGCAAAACAGGACATGTCTCTCCTGTCGCCGCTCGCCAACATTAGCCCTCCAGAGGAGCTGGCGCCCACCGCCAGGGTCTTGTCCCGGCACCCGTGACGTCTCTCAGTCTTCCTGTCACCTCACACTGCCACTGCCACCCCTCCTCTGTACTCACCTAGTTGTGCTTGCAGGGGTTGAGCTCTGGCTGTTTGGTCCCGCCTATCAACTGTCAATCAACTGGTGTACAGGTTCCTGAGCCTACTGGGCTCTATCATATCTACATTTGAAACTGTGTATGGAGTCAGCCTCCACCACATCACTGCCTAATGCATTCCATCTGTTAACTACTCTGACACTGAAAAAGTTCCTTCTAACGTCCCTGTGGCTCATGTGGGTACTCAGCTTCCACCTGTGTCCCCTTGTTCGCGTACCACCCGTGTTGAATAATCGATCCTTCTCTACCCTGTCAATTACCCCTGAGAATATTTTATGTGGTGATCATGTCTCTCCGAGCTCTTCTGTCGTGAGGGTGCATTTCCCGAAGCCTTTTCTCGTAACTCATGGCTCTTAGTTCTGGGACTAGTCTAGTGGCATACCTCTGAACTTTTTCCAGTTACGTCTTGTGCTTGACAAGGTACGGGCTTCATGCTGGGGCTGCATACTCCAGGATTTGTCTTACATATGTGCTATACAAGGTTCTGAATGATTCCTTACACAGGTTCCTGAACGCTGTTCTGATGTTAGCCAGCCTCGCATATACCGCAGACGTAATTCTTTTGATGTGGGCTTCAAGAGACAGGTTTGGTGTGATATCAATTCCTAGATCTTTCTCTCTGTCCGTTTCGTGAAGAACTTCATCTCCGATTCGATATCCAGTGTCTAGCCTCCTATTTCCTCCGCCTAGTTTCATTACCTTACATTTACTTGGGTTGAACTTTAGTGGCCATTTGTTGGACCATTCCTTCAGTTTGTTTAGGTCATCTTGTAGCCTCATACTATCTTCCTCTGTCCCTGTCCTCATATTTTTTGCATCATTAGCAAACACTGAGAGGAACGAGTCTATTTCCTCTGGGAAATCATTTACATATATCAGGAACAGCATAGGTCCAAGAACTGATTAATGAGGGACTCCAGTGGTGACGCCTCGCCGCTCTGAGACCTCACCCCTCACAGTGACTCGCTGTCTTTTCTTGCTTAGGTACTACTTTATCCAACGGAGTACCTTCCCTTTCACTCCAGCCTGCATCTCCAGCTTTTTCACTAGCCTCTTGTGTGGCACTGTATCAAAGGCTTTCTGGCAATCCAAAAATATGCAGTCTGTCCACCCCTCTCTTTCTTACCTGATTTGTGTTGCCTGGTCGTAGAATTCAATTAGCCCTGTGAGGCAGGACCTGCCCTCCCTGAACCCATGTTGATGCTGTGTTACAAAGTTCTTGACCACATGTAGAGTACAAATATTTCCTTATATTATTACAACTTATTTATTTGTCCACCTGTAGCTTGTTGGCTTGTTGGCTTGTTGGCTTGTTGGCTTGTTGGGGATGAGCTGTAATTTGCCCCGAGTCCTCTAGTGGCTTGTCAAGGTCTTACCTTACCTTACCTTGAGGTTACCTTGAGATGATTTCGGGGCTTAGCGTCCCCGCGGCCCGGTCCTCAACCAGGCCTCCACGTTGCAGGACTGGTCTACCAAGCTGTTGGACGGCAGGCTGCTAGCAGCCTGATGTATGAGTCACAGCCTGGCTGATCAGGTATCCTTTGGAGGTGTTTGTCAAGTTCTCTCTTGAACACTGTGAGGGGTCGGCCAGTTATGTTCCTTATGTGTAGTGGAAGCGTGTTGAACAGTCTCGGGCCTCTGATGTTGATAGTTCTCTCTTGAACACTGTGAGGGGTCGGCCAGTTATGCCCCTTATGTGTAGTGGAAGCGTGTTGAACAGTCTCGGGCCTCTGATGTTGATAGTTCTCTCTTGAACACTGTGAGGGGTCGGCCAGTTATGTCCCTTATGTGTAGTGGAAGCGTGTTGAACAGTCTCGGGTCTCTGATGTTGATAGTTCTCTCTTGAACACTGTGAGTGGTCGGCCAGTTATGCCCCTTATGTGTAGTGGAAGCGTGTTGAACAGTCTCGGGTCTCTGATGTTGATAGTTCTCTCTTGAACACTGTGAGGGGTCGGCCAGTTATGTCCCTTATGTGTAGTGGAAGCGTGTTGAACAGTCTCGGTCCTCTGATGTTGATAGTTCTCTCTTGAACACTGTGAGGGGTCGGCCAGTTATGTCCCTTATGTGTAGTGGAAGCGTGTTGAACAGTCTCGGGTCTCTGATGTTGATAGTTCTCTCTTGAACACTGTGAGGGGTCGGCCAGTTATGTCCCTTATGTGTAGTGGAAGCGTGTTGAACAGTCTCGGGCCTCTGATGTTGATAGTTCTCTCTTGAACACTGTGAGGGGTCGGCCAGTTATGCCCCTTATGTGTAGTGGAAGCGTGTTGAACAGTCTCGGGCCTCTGATGTTGATAGTTCTCTCTTGAACACTGTGAGGGGTCGGCCAGTTATGCCCCTTATGTGTAGTGGAAGCGTGTTGAACAGTCTCGGGCCTCTGATGTTGATAGTTCTCTCTTGAACACTGTGAGTGGTCGGCCAGTTATGTCCCTTATGTGTAGTGGAAGCGTGTTGAACAGTCTCGGGCCTCTGATGATGATAGTTCTCTCTTGAACACTGTGAGGGGTCGGCCAGTTATGTCCCTTATGTGTAGTGGAAGCGTGTTGAACAGTCTCGGGCCTCTGATGTTGATAGTTCTCTCTTGAACACTGTGAGTGGTCGGCCAGTTATGTCCCTTATGTGTAGTGGAAGCGTGTTGAACAGTCTCGGGCCTCTGATGTTGATAGTTCTCTCTTGAACACTGTGAGGGGTCGACCAGTTATGTCCCTTATGAGTAGCGGAAGCGTGCTGAACAGTCTCGGGCCTCTCATGTTGATAGAGTTCTCTCTCAGAGTACCTGTTGCACCTCTGCTTTTCAACAGGGGTATTCTGCACATCCTGCCATGCCTCCTGGTCTCATGTGGTGTTATTTCTGTCTGCAGGTTTGGGACCAGCCCCTCTACTATTTTCCACGTGTAAATTTTTATGTATCTCTCCCGCCTGCGCTCAAGAGAATACAGATTTAGGCACTTTAGTCGGTCCCAATAGTTTAGATGCTATACTGAGTGGATTCTAGCAGTAAAGGATCTCTGCACGCTCTCCAGGTCAGCAATTTCTCCAGCTTTGAAAGGGGCTGTCATTGTGCAGCAGTATTCCACTCTAGAGAGCTCTAGTGACTTGAAAAGTATCATCTTTGGAATAGCATCTTTAGCTTGAAAGGTTCTTGTTATCCAACCTGTCACTTTTCTTGCAGTTGTGACGGCTACTTTATTGTGTTCTATAAAGGTAAGGTCTTCCGACATGAGTACACCCAAATCTTCCTGAACATTTCTGGTAATCTTGCTTGGTTTCAGCATACCTTCTTTAGCTTTACAATAACTGCAAAAATTACCATCTACGAGCCCAGTTAATCTTTGGCCCAACCACTTGGGCTGGACGGTAGAGCGACGGTCTCGCTTCATGCAGGTCGACGTTCAATTAATCCCCGACCGTCCAAGTGTTTGGCCACCATTCCTTCCCCCGTCCCATCCCAAATCCTTACCCTGACCCCTTCCACGTGCTATACAGTCGTAATAGCTTGGCGCTTTACCCTGATAATTCCTTTCCTCAAGAAGGTCAGTCACAAGCCAGAACAGTGAAGGTCCCGGGACCTTACCTTTGGGACCCCCCCCACTGGTCACAGCTCTCTAGGTCCTTTGCCCATGTTTGGTCTAATGATCACCACTCCATTTGGTGAACCCTCACAGTCGCTGGCCCCCGGAACACCTCCACCCACCCACCCAACCCCCAAGGAGCACTACGGGCTCACCATAGCCCGTGCTACTTGGAACTTTTTGTTCCAGGTAGCGAATCTTAAAACAACAACAACAACAACAACAACAACAAGAACAACAAAGGCCATGAAGGAAAAAACGTTGTGTGTTACTCACTGAGTTTGGTGATGATCATGCGCTTGATGATGTCGAGTCCGGTCTTCATGAAGGAGCGGACGTTCATGCACGAGGAGTAGAAGGTCTTCAGCTTCCACTCGATGCTGTTGACGTCCTCGGGCTCGTTCATGGTGTCCAGCAGCTCCCTCATCTCCGAGAGGGCTGGGGACACACGGGGACACAAGGAACAAGATCAGTCCCCACTCTCAGCACGGTGTATAGTGTCCCCACACCATTACCTAACACCACCTCCCTGGTCTTACTCAGCACGGTGTATAGTGTCCCCACACCATTACCTAACACCACCTCCCTGGTCTTACTCAGCACGGTGTATAGTGTCCCCACACCATTACCTAACACCACCTCCCTGGTCTTACTCAGCACGGTGTATAGTGTCCCCGCACCACTACCTAACACCACCTCCCTGGTCTTACTCAGCACGGTGTATAGTGTCCCCACACCATTACCTAACACCACCTCCCCGGTCTTACTCAGCACGGTGTATAGTGTCCCCGCACCACTAACTAACACCACCTCCCTGGTCTTACTCAACACGGTGTATAGTGTCCCCGCACCACTACCTAACACCACCTCCCTGGCCTTACTCAACACGGTGTATAGTGTCCCCACACCACCACCTAACACCACCTCCCGGTCTTACTCAGCACGGTGTATAGTGTCCCCGCACCACTACCTAACACCACCTCCCTGGTCTTACTCAGCACGGTGTATAGTGTCCCCACACCATTACCTAACACCACCTCCCTGGTCTTACTCAGCACGGTGTATAGTGTCCCCACACCATTACCTAACACCACCTCCCTGGTCTTACTCAGCACGGTGTATAGTGTCCCCACACCATTACCTAACACCACCTCCCTGGCCTTACTCAACACGGTGTATAGTGTCCCCGCACCACTAACACCACCTCCCCGGTCTTACTCAGCACGGTGTATAGTGTCCCCACACCATTACCTAACACCACCTCCCTGGCCTTACTCAACACGGTGTATAGTGTCCCCACACCACTACCTAACACCACCTCCCTGGTCTTACTCAGCACGGTGTATAGTGTCCCCACACCACTACCTAACACCACCTCCCTGGTCTTACTCAGCACGGTGTATAGTGTCCCCGCACCACTACCTAACACCACCTCCCTGGCCTTACTCAACCCCAAATTCATGTGGATAAATCGTCTTGTATTTGTCATGTGCCGTTTTTCTCCCTTAATGTGATACAATGTTAATGACTCGCCTTGAGCTGTTGTGTTCCTGGCTATTCATATGTAAAGTATTACTGGTACCTAATGTGACTGCTAATGGTGATTTGCACAGTCCAGTGAAGGGAAAATGGGCATATATTGGGTAATTTAATGTTGGTTTGTCATCTTAATAAGGTAAAGAGTCCCAGGGACAGAGGAAGGGGTCGGGGGAGAGGAACTCTATCACAAGAATAGACAGGTAATGCCACATGATATATATGGATAGACTATTGAGATGTGGTCAATGGATGTTCCTCTCAGACCTTCCCAATATACGATAAAATTATGTGTATTTATCAAGTCAAATCCAAACCTATTCTTGCCTAACATAACCCAACATAACTAAGTCAGTAATTCAAGCTCCTAATATATTTCTATATCAGAAAATCGAATCAACCTCTCAAAAGAACTCAGAGAAGGGTCCCCAGTTCTCCTTCCAGCATATGTTGTTAGGATATCTGAGGTTCCCAACATATGTAATGATATGTTGGCAGGCGATGAGTCACAATAACGTGGCTGAAGAATGTTGACCAGACCACACACTAGAAGGTGAAGGGACGACGACGTTTCGGTCCGTCCTGGACCATTCTCAAGTCGATTGTGACTGGTCCACAATCGACTTGAGAATAGTCCAGGACGGACCGAAACATCGTCGTCCCTTCACCTTCTAGTGTGTGGTCTGGTCAACATATGTAGACAGATATGTCATCAACATATCTGTACCAAATCATGTCTCGAGGTTTGATCTGAGTGTCCACATGTCTCCAAGTATTCCATATACAGGCAAGATAACACCGGATTAAAGGACTCCTACATAACAACATATTTTCGACGGTAAAAACTGTCTTGAAACGAGAACACGTTTAGTCCCTCCCCTTCCCCCCCCCCCCAGCCGTGTTATTTATATTATCTTTGTTATCGGCAGAGGCGCAGTTTCTTGGGAGGTTTTCAATGTGGGGGGGGGGGGGAAGGAATGGTTCCCAACCACTTGGACGGTCGGCGATTGAACGTCGACCTGCATGGAGCGAGACTGTCGCTCTACCGTCCACTCCAAGTGGTTGGTTAATGAAAAGGGAGCCAACATCCAAACTTAACAACTTAATCCAAAATTTAATATCACATCAGGGAAGTGATTATCAGATATATATATATATATATATATATATATATATATATATATATATATATATATATATATATATATATATATATATATATATATTTATATATATATATAAATTAAGGGCAAGGAAACTGCGAACTTTCTCATTAAAATCTCTCAGACACCAAATATAATCCTTTGGAAGAAACGAATGCCGTCAATACCTTCACATGTTCACTTTAGGACTGTCAGCCCCAACGATCACAATATATAGGCAAGACAACAACATTCCTTTCGAGGAGCCTACAATGCACAAACAACAAGGCCCTATCGAGTTCCTTCAAAGGATGGTGTAGTCTTGCCTATATATTGAGTTCGTTAGGGCTGACCGTCCCCAAGTGGGCATGTGAAGACATACACAACATTGGCCTCCTTCACGGGGTTTGGTCATGTGTCAGGAGAGTGTTTTCAAGAGCAACTTTGCAACCTTCTTGCTCCTATAGTGTAGTATTAGTCCGCTCTTGTGGTTGGTGTCAGTGGCGGTCACATTTATATCAATAATGTTTGTCACGCCCAATCTCTTCCGTCTTGAGGGCGGTGAAGATGACGTTCCTGTAGAATGTGTTAATAGTTGGACCAGTAATGTGGTGTTGACTGTTTCCTCCGAGGCTGCTTGGCGGCTCATCTTCATGTTGATGATCTCTTCCACACACATGTTAGTGTCCATTGTTGACCAGGACCTGCCTTACTCTACCCAGAGCCTCGTTGACCAGGACCTGCCTTACTCTACCCAGAGCCTCGTTGACCAGGACCTGCCTTACTCTACCCAGAGCCTCGTTGACCAGGACCTGCCTTACTCTACCCAGAGCCTCGTTGACCAGGACCTGCCTTACTCTACCCAGAGCCTCGTTGACCAGGACCTGCCTTACTCTACCCAGAGCCTCGTTGACCAGGACCTGCCTTACTCTACCCAGAGCCTCGTTGACCAGGACCTGCCTTACTCTACCCAGAGCCTCGTTGACCAGGACCTGCCTTACTCTACCCAGAGCCTCGTTGACCAGGACCTGCCTTACTCTACCCAGAGCCTCGTCAACCTGCTTGCCACTGGAGCTGTGTGTCAGGACACAGTTGATATAGACATTGACAAATATCTCGTAAATGACCCTTAGCCCTAGACATTGCTCGAATGCATCCTTAATCAGGTGCCTGCAGGAGTATGTCGTCTGTATATCTACAGTGTACTCTCGGCTTTACCTCTGTGCCTTCCTCACCACCTAAGGACTTCCTGTTCAAAGGTACCCCATAGCGACCCTGTATACTTTTATATTTGTAATTTTTCCCCGAGGGGAGAGTTAATTGGGCAGCGCCACTCATCCTGTGAGTGGACACACCGCCGTAGTGACAGTATTGGGCAGCGTCACTCATCCTGTGAGTGGACACACCGCCATAGTGACAGTATTGGGCAGCGCCACTCATCCTGTGAGTGGACACATCGCCATAGTGACAGTATTGGGCAGCGTCACTCATCCTGTGAGTGGACACACCGCCATAGTGACATATATTGGGCAGCGTCACTCATCCTGTGAGTGGACACACCGCCATAGTGACAGTATTGGGCAGCGCCACTCATCCTGTGAGTGGACACACCGCTATAGTGACAGTATTGGGCAGCGTCACTCATCCTGTGAGTGGACACACCGCCATAGTGACAGTATTTGGACACAGCGTCACTCATCCTGTGAGTGGACACACCGCCATAGTGACAGTATTGGGCAGCGCCACTCATCCTGTGAGTGGACACACCGCCATAGTGACAGTATTGGGCAGCGTCACTCATCCCGTGAGTGGACACACCGCCATAGTGACAGTATTGGGCAGCGTCACTCATCCCGTGAGTGGACACACCGCCATAGTGACAGTATTGGGCAGCGCCACTCATCCTGTGAGTGGACACACCGCCATAGTGACAGTATTGGGCAGCACCACTCATCCTGTGAGTGGACACACCGCCATAGTGACAGTATTGGGCAGCGTCACTCATCCTGTGAGTGGACACACCGCCATAGTGACAGTATTGGGCAGCGCCACTCATCCTGTGAGTGGACACACCGCCATAGTGACAGTATTGGGCAGCGCCACTCATCCTGTGAGTGGACACACCGCCATAGTGACAGTATTGGGCAGCACCACTCATCCTGTGAGTGGACACACCGCCATAGTGACAGTATTGGGCAGCGCCACTCATCCTGTGAGTGGACACACCGCCATAGTGACAGTATTGGGCAGCGCCACTCATCCTGTGAGTGGACACACCGCCATAGTGACAGTATTGGGCAGCGCCACTCATCCTGTGAGTGGACACACCGCCATAGTGACAGTATTGGGCAGCGCCACTCATCCTGTGAGTGGACACACCGCCATAGTGACAGTATTGGGCAGCACCACTCATCCTGTGAGTGGACACACCGCCATAGTGACAGTATTGGGCAGCGTCACTCATCCTGTGAGTGGACACACCGCCATAGTGACAGTATTGGGCAGCGCCACTCATCCTGTGAGTGGACACACCGCCATAGTGACAGTATTGGGCAGCGCCACTCATCCTGTGAGTGGACACACCGCCATAGTGACAGTATTGGGCAGCACCACTCATCCTGTGAGTGGACACACCGCCATAGTGACAGTATTGGGCAGCGCCACTCATCTGTGAGTGGACACACCGCCATAGTGACAGTATTGGGCAGCGTCACTCATCCTGTGAGTGGACACACCGCCATAGTGACAGTATTGGGCAGC